GATAAAATAAAATAATAAATAACTTTATGTTACGTGTACGCAACATCCCATGTCTCAACTTTTCTTTCACAGCTCTCTCTCCCTCTCTGTCGATCGTAGATCACTATAGACTTTAGAATTTTAGACGTCATGATAGTCAGATTGATTCTCCCCTGTGGTTTTATCGCAAGAAGAACTAGTCATCTTACAACATAAAAAATTAAGCTGTTTAGTGATGATCATGTGCGCCGGTAGTACGGCGGTAGAATGCTCGTCAACCACGCCTCATGTGGTCCGGAGTTAGATACCCGGCTACTGACGCACTCCTTTACCTCTCTAACCTAGTAAGAAGACTGGTAAAGAGGGAAGGTTGGGCACATGAGGCTAGCAGCCCCATCCCGTAAAAATAAATACCACTGTTACCGGAACTTCAAGCCTCTAGCTTGAAGCCCTATGTTCCACTGGGGGCGTGAAGGAATAAAAAATGATGATTAGCGCCAGCCTAGTTGAATTACCTGAGACTTTCACACACACACACACACACACGATGGGATATTGTTAATTCTAGTTAATAATTCCCACGATAACATTCTTAAACACTTTTGAAGTGAAATAGTATATACGTCTCTCTTTACGGTAGGCATTACGGTGGTGCGCTGGTCGGGGTTACATGTAACCATGACACAATGACCTATGGGGGCTAGAAGTAACAAGTGTTCCTGCAGGTTATACTATGCCAAAGAGATCTTTTAGATAGCGGTTAGACTATAAGTAGTTACCATTATGGTGTAGGCTAGTTATGATTATCTGAGTAGTGTAAAACAGCGGTAAGGTGATCCCTATCAAAAGTTGTATGTATGTGTTGTGCTGACCATCATTTCAGTCTGTCCTAATTTATGAATGATAGACATGAGAAGATCACAGATACTTGACTATTTTATTGGTAATTCCGTCCAGTTACAATATACTGAGTAGTGTTAGGGATAAATCTTAAGTCTTAAGTAAGGACGGACTCAAATCCACAAATAAATAAGCGCTAAAAAAGTGATTGACAAGACATGGAAAACATGTTAGGTATCCTGAGTCACTATACTCTCTCTTCAACGTGAAAATAATAAGTGAAGCCAAATGCAGTTCGAAATATGTTGGAAAAACGTAAAACTGAAGTATTATAGGTAAGTTAGTCTACACTTTATCTGATTTGAATCCACAAATTGTTAAGAAGCAGATGTTATGAGATTTTTCCATGAAAATATTCAGAATGGGCCATTGGATCGGGTCCCAGTGGCTTAATTGTATACGAGCTCGCCTTGCAACCAGAAGGTCCTGGGTTCGAATCCCGGGGTGTGTACTGCTAAAGAGTCCCAAACTAGGGCGAAACAACTGTCCAGTACTCCCAGCTGGTTTTCCAATGGTTCTCTAACTAATGTCAGCTCATGATGAAAATCCTGTAATTAATCAAATCCCTACAAACCAACACTTGAATATTCAAAATCGTTGACAATCTATTTTAGCATTAGATATAATGGAGAATGTTCAAGTCTTAGACAAAGGGAACTGCAAAAATGCCAGAGAATTCCTAGAGGCCTGGTATTCAAATGAATCAGCAATCAATAGACACATAGAGATTGACAAAATATACCAACCCATACGAAGAAATTCACACAAAAACAAAGTCAAACTTCAGGTCAAGGAAACAAGTGAACTAGAAAGTGAGAAGTCACACAAAAACAACCAATCACGTTCAAGGTTAGCAGAAGGAATGACTAACGACATTCAGACCAAAGAAGCAGCCAGCACTGAGACAAGGAAACTAGGGGATGAAATGTCACACGAAAACAACCAATCACGTTCAATGTTACTAGAAGAGATGACTAATAAACTCATAGAGAATTCTAAAAGCTCACTTCACATCGAAGTATGCGCTGAAGATGTTGCTCAGTAGAGCAATGAAAGCTTCGCAACCAAACCATCCAGCTCAGAGAACACAACCACACCAAAATATTTTAGCATTAGGAACACAATATTCAGCAAAAGAGACTCTTTTCAACAACGAATTTATTATCAAGCTGTACAATCGTATATGTATATGGTTTTTTTAAGAAATAATATCCGGTGAGGGAATTAGGCCAAAGGTGTGAATACATAAAATAATAATAATATTAGTATGAAATGTCATTAAAATATTTGTGATTATGATCACAGTTAAATGTCTAGTAACAAAACAATTTAATGGCTGCTTGTTTTATGGTAAAGCTTGAAAACTGTCAACTTAGTCAAACCATCAATCATTTAGACATTTATAAAAGATACGTGGACGACACTTTCGTTATCTGTGATAATAACGTAATTCTTGATGATGTCTTGTGTGCTTTCAACAAGTGCCATCCTTCTTTACAATTCATCATAGAAAAGGAATCTGAACTGAGTATTCCCTTTCTTGATGTGTGCCTTAGTAGACGTAATGACGGCTGTCTCAAAAGATCCAACCACCAGAAAAATACATGTAATGGACAACTAACTGATTTTTATAGTTGGGTACCTACCTCCAGGAAAAGGAACCTAATTCATTCGTTCTGCTTTAGGATAAGAAACATTTGTAGTTCTGATTGCATTGACTCAGTACTTGTCTTCCTAAAAGCCATGCTCGCAGAAAACGGTTACCAGAACTGATTTATTGACAGTAACGCGAAAGATAAGCAGTATAAACTGGTCACTAATTCAATTCCAAAGACAGCCTTATTCATGAACTTGGAATTCAAAGATGATCAAGCTTCACATATGCTCAAAAACCGTTTCTCTAAATCAGTCAGTAAGACGTTCTTTGCAGCAAAATTAAAAATGACGTTCACCAGCCGCAAGTTGTTCTCCATCTCTGTAAAACATAAGCGCTCCCATCCGGCCGCCTCCATGTGCATCTATCAGTCCACCTGCTCTAGTGGAGCAAGGTATATTGTCCGTAGCCGGAGGACGCTTTCGACACAGATACGAGAACATATTCCAGCAGCATGGTTTTACAAGGGAGAAAGGAAGTGTGTGCGAAGCTCTATACTAGAACACCTGATCGACTCCTGTCACTCTGCAACCCTGAACATGATTTTAAGATCCTCTATCGAATCCATACTAACTTGCTAGTCGCGTTTTCTTCGTTATAAACTTCTAAGGACAACACAGGCCTTGACAATTCATGACTTTAACCCAGATATTTTTGTGTACAAAAGAAGTATGTACAATCCCTACTTGTGCCTTGGCCGTAGAGGGATAGACATTCATTTATTTATTTACTTTGTTTATTTAGTTATTCTAGGTACGTTCCCCTTATTACTACGATTATTATCATTATTATTACAATTCTCATTCTGAATTGTTTCCGCTTGTCCCACTTGTCTGCCTAAATCCAAAATGTTTTTTACAATATTGAATTCTATCTTATCAAATTTCATACCATGTTATGTAATATTTTATATTCGCCTACTAATACTATAATTATGCACCTCTTTCCAACATCTATACGTCTTATGAATTATTCTATATATTGTTGTTTTGCCACTTCACATCTAACTATGATTATAATCACAAATATTTTAATGGCATTTCATACTACTATAATTATTACTTTATGTATTCACACCTTTGATCTAATTCTCTCACCGGATATAATTTCTTAAAAACCATATACATATACGATTGTACAGCTTGATAATAAATTCGTTGTTCAAAAGAGTCTCTTCACTGAATATTGTGTTCTTAATGCTACAATGGGAATTATTAAATCTGTTGTTGACCGATCAACCTCTAACTACTCTCTCCCTAAGGTTCTACTTCCATCTTAAATGTTTCTGTTAAAGAAGATAGTCAACTTAGTATCCTAGATTTCCTCTATTCATCTCCAGTAACATAAATGCTCCTATGAATCTGGGCTCATACCGTGGTGTGTGCTACTGATAAGATTTATCAGTAGTACATAGGGAGATGTTTATCGGCATAAAATCATCAAATAGTAGGTAGACAGGTTTGATGTCGGAGACAGAAAATGATACAACGTTGTGAAGATACATGGGAGATGTTGAAAGGAACACAAAGAAACACAATATGAAGGAAGGGCAGAAGTAGCATTTGTGAAAAAAGGAGAATTAAGGTGTTTTTGACACGATACGTCAATGACTGTCTGTCTGTCTCTTTTCGACATAGAACTTTGCAAATATGTGCGGTAGTTCAAGTCGCCACACTCCCTCCTTGTTGCACACAAAGGAAGAGAAGAAATGCATAATATAGACAGTAAACAGAGGTGGGAGACAAAGGAATAGTAATAACGAAGAATAAAACAGTTTCACTGGAAATCATAAGTCACAAGGAGTGGATGCATCTGCACCAGCCATTGAGAACGATTTCTATCCATAGCACCAATTGTTTCCAACCATTGGTTTTTACCATCCCAAGGACCTCAACTAGGAAGTCTACACCTTCCTACGTGGCTAGCTTAAATTAAATGTTGTAGATTTCATTGACTGGTGAGACCATGTTTTGGTTTGACCGCCGCCAGCTCTTTTCCAGTCTGACCCAATGTCAGCTAACATTGCCTGTCGAGGAAGGTGATGGCTAGGCATACGTAACACGTGTCCTAACCATCTCAGTCGATGGAACTTCACAGCCTCGTCGATTGATTTCCCCTCCCACCTACCTAGCACTCGACGCCTAACCTCAATATTGCTCACCTTATTATACCACTTCACGCGGGAGATAGAGGGCAGGCACCTATGATCAAAGATAGCTAGTCTTTTCATGTCTTCCACTCTCAATGGTCAGATCTCACAGTCAGCCATAAAGGAGGACGGAACGGACTGATGAGCAGTACACACGCCCTTTGGTCAATAGTCGGATATCACGTCTACGCCAGAGACGGCGTAAACTGGCATATGCGAAACGCCAATGACTACAACACATCAAAACGCTTTGTGTGAGATAGACAATGATACATGTGATGATAAGTAGTCAAAGTTTCAAAAACCAAAAAAACTAACCTCTTCTGCTTCTTGTGCAGCTTGAATAGATCGTAAATCATTTGCAAGTGGCTTTTCTGTAGTATTGACACTTCCAGCAGCCCATCGTGCAGATTCAGGCAATTTTAAACGACTCAGTTCACTGTCAGCCTTCATGCGTAATGCTTCACGTCTACTTTGTTCAGCTAATGCACGAGCTTTTTCTTGATCAGCTAATGCTTTCTCCATAGCAAGAGCAAGAGCCTCCTCTTCGGCTATTTTCTTCAATCTAGCCTCTTCAGCTAATTTCTGCTCTAATGCTGCAGCTTTACGACGATTGAATTCAATCTCCCATGCTAATTGTTTTTCTTGCTCTGCAGTCAATCTACAAAAGCGGCAAAAACCAAAATTTACAAATATTTTATTAAGCTCTTTCTTAAAATCTCTTATTGAATACTGACAAATTATGACTTTGAAAAATGTAAAATAAAACCGGCATAGTTGTGGATTTCATTGACTGATGAAGGCATATTTTCGTTTGACCACCACTAGCTAGCTCATTTCCAACCTCATCAATCCGATGTCACTCAGCTAACATTGCACGTCACCGAGGAAGGCTATCGATGGCATTACACGGTGGCATGCGTAACACATGTCCTAAACATCTCTCAATCGATGTAGTAGTAGCTTCACAACCACCTCATCGATTGATTTCCCCTCATCACCTACACTTACTTAGCACTCGACCACCGATGATGCCAAACCTCAATAGTACTCACCTTGTTATACCATCAGCTAACACACACTGCGCGTGATGTCATTCGACGGTCTCGTCAACGTATGTCCTACATATTTGTTGAGGAATCGGCTCTTGGTCGGTTTGTTGCTAATTCTTTCTGGCCGGTTGGCCGACCGGCCATTTGATCTTCAGTAAGGAGCCAGCGAAGGCAGTTGTCGATAAAAGTCTGCAGTAGACTGATGGTAATACTTTTCGTGATGCGCCCATCAAGTTTCTGATTCATATAGAAGAACTGACTGGCTGACTCACTTGACATTGGTGTTGAAAATCCCATTCTTGTTCTTTAAGCCTAGGAGCGCAGAAGGTTCCCACACTGATTTAGGAGTGATGGAGGTGTATCTTGCCTTTCCGATTATGACTTTCTTTCCTTGACATTTTCATCCGTTCTGTTGCGCCTGTGGTTGAAACAATGCCGGCTTCCTAGCCAGATAACTGAAGGAAGTAACCTCTTTTAACCTCTTTATCTCGTTGATGGTGACTGATGCTGGTTGTTGTTGATGGTTGGTTGGTTATCTTCATCACCCCCGTCTTCTCCATGTTCACCTAAAGTCCTGTCTTCGCCTGCCTGTCTGCCTGCAAGTCTTCGAGTTTGTGTGACACCAAACATAAATCATCCATGCGCGAAATCCAGATCTTCTAGAGTCTCCTTATCGGTCAGTACAACGTAGTCCTGTCTTCTCACTCCCCATGCACAGTCTGGCGCTTGATCCAGTCGACCACAATTAGGAATACCATCGGAGATGATAGACAGATCGGTCATATTCCTGTATTCACTTCAGGTAAATTATTAGTGGGTAAATGGGTCTAAATATATAATTAATAAAGCTATTCAACTTCTCATAATATCAGACATAGTTTAAAACTTCTGTGCAATAATATAACTGAACTATTTCACACTTTCTAACCACCAGTCAGCTCTATAATAATAATAATAATATAATGAATGCAAAAATATTATTGAATGACAAAATAGTATGTATTGCGTTAAGCTGTCATACTGAAGAAAAAATTATAATAATAGACCCTTTTTGAAATAATAACTGGATTTTGCAGATAATCAATTAATGTTAATAACTACATGGAATTCAACGGAACTAGAAGCCCATTGAAGACTGAATGAATCTGTCTGTACCAGTGAGAACGATTTTGAGCCCCATATTACCGACAACACATCCAGTCCCTTAACTCATACTGTGGTGAGAGCTGGCTGCTAGCCAAAGTTGGTAGACAGTAATTGACGTCAATGTTTATGTCCCCAATATTGGTGGTGAGAAAATGAGAACAAAGGCTTTGCGTAGGTGGATACAGTTAGCATATGGATGATCTGACACAGCCACAAAGAGATGCAATGTTAACTTTCTGTTAGAAACAACCAATCAAAAGACTGTATTTTCTACTAACGATAATCTACAATAATGTACATTAAAATCTGTAAATATGTGTTAACTTTCATTAATAAATGATCTGATGTCTGGCCCTTGTCTTCTGTTGTCACAATACAATCTAGATAACTTCAACCTAGCAGTGCCTCCACACGTGTCTCTAATTGGCTGAAAATAACACTGCCAAAGACACTTCATCGACTATTTTCTAACCTAATCCTATGTCAGCTAATCCTTGCTCGTTGACGAAGACAGTATAGCTCAGTATGCGTGACACACATTTACTAGCCATTTGTTATCTCTTTACTTATACTTAATTAGGGTACAGCAGGTTGAAGGTGAGGTAGGTAGTAACTCATCGAAGAAGACATTGACAAGTGGTTGCGCTATGTCATAAATGGTCAGAAGTTAGAATTCATGGGCTCACTGGTCATTGGATCGGGTCCCAGTGGCTGATAAGTGGTCTACGAGCTCGCTAGCCTTATAACCAGAAGGTACTGGGTTCGAATCCCCGCTGAAGCGTCCCAAACTAGGCCGACGAAACAGCTAGCTGCCCAGTGCTCCCACACATGTTTTCCAATAATTCTCTAACTGATTTCAACTCATGATGAAATCCTTCAACCAAGTCAAACAAAAATATCCCTACAAAACCAATACTTGAATAAACAAATCAGTTTTTTTTAATAAAAGAGAAAAAAACGTATGACACAAATATACACATCTCACTTTTTATTAGCTTTTTTATTTTTTCGTTTACTTTTCTTTGAAACTCCACCACCACCACTTTCATCTGCATCATTACTTGAGTCAGCCTTTCCTGTTGTTGTTGTTGTTGTTGTCTGTAGCGTGGTATTCACAGAGGTATTTATTGACGACTTTTCTTGGATAACATTCTCGCCACCGCCATCCCCATCATCATCATCACCAGTAGCGTCAACATCCTCATGATGACTAAGCTGACCACCACCACCAGTCAGTTGAGTACTATCCAACATGATACTGGATGACTCATCTTTTGAATCATATGATGATGAATTGATTTTCTCGTCAATAGAGCAGATATGTTCATCACCACTACCACGGATATCCTTTTGATGAGTATTATCTAGTACTTTGGAAGGTGTTGATGACTTATTATTATGCGCTGTTGTTGTTGTCATTTCAAGTGATGGTTTTTGTGGGGGTGTATTTTGAGTATCTAAATTGTCTCTTTTATTAATGCTGCCATTATTATTATTATTATTACTATGAATTTGATTAGAATTGTTCCCATTAGCCTCATTTGAAGGAGAAATTAACAGACGAGCTAATTCACTTTGTACAGCATTTGTTGTTTGAATTAATGTTTCAGTTAGATTAGAATTTAATTGACTTGAGCATAAATTAGATAATAATTTCGCTGTTGTATTATTTATTTCAGCTAATTTATTAGCTAATGCTAAACGTTCTGCTTCTATTTTAGTTGTATGCGTTAAAATATTTTGAGCATCAGTGCATAAATTTAATAGAGCAGTTGTATCATTGACTTCTGTAAGTACGCTGGGATTAATGGATGTTGATGTCTTCAAGTCTTCATGTAATGCAGCTGCTGGTGGTGGTGGTGATGACGTAATCGTTGATGATAATGTTGATGTTGGTTGTTTACTGTCAACAGATTCTACTTGAATGTTGTCATTACTGGTAACTTTTTCTTGTTGAAGCTAGAATGCAGAGAAGAAGAAAAAGGTTAGCAGATATATATTGTCATGATATATAATTTAACAAAAAGATTGATAACTAAGAGATTCAGTGCACATTTGACTGATCGACTTTCTTTTAAAAAAGCAGAAGAGCACTTTACATAACATGTGTGGTGAGAACTAGCTGCAAGCCAAACCAATTTACGCCAATGTTACATCCCGAATAAGGTTCGCGAGAAAAAACAATAACAAAGCTTAACCTTGGGGAACTCACCAACCAATCACAGAAGACTTAACATGTGCAAATACGATTCACGGACATGTGGCTTAACTTTCTAAGAAACGACCACAAGCAGTACAGAATAACCTTCAGCAAGAAAACAACCAATCAGAAGACGTTGCTTCTCTGCTAACACTAACGATAATAATAATGTACATAAAAATCAATAAAAATCTGTCGACTTTCTCAATAAACGATCTGTTGCGTGGGCCCTTGTCTTCTGTCGTTACACATGTACAGAAGAATACTGTAAGTAAACGAACATGAGTGTGAAAGGAACCATTAAAGTTCGTCATTTAATTAAAACTAGGGTATTCGATCCCAAGTAATGAGTTATGTTTGTTGTATGAGAGGTGATGTTACTGTCCAGCTGTCCAAGCTGAAGTAGATGAAGCGACACTCCAAACAGGAAACCACTAGTTGAACAGTGAATGCTTAATCCTAAAGGGGAAGTGTGGCATGAGATCTGACCTCACTTGAAAGTTTCCTCTCTCAGCATATATCCGATTCATATCATTCTGCATATTTGTTAGGCGGTTATACATTCTTAACTGATTGGTTGGTTCGCCGGCAGACTTCCTCTTCATGACAAAATTAATTTATAGTCTCTTGGCGAAGTGGTTTTTTTCCTGAGTGTACTAGCAGTAATAATAACTTGAAACAAAAGAATGAGAGAGACAAAATAAACGTAACACAATAGTAAAGAAAATCACGTCATCCACCCTATATATAGTGTGTTACTTACCTGTGTTTGACTTTCATCTGATGTTGATCCAAGTGGTGAAACAACGGCTGGATTATCTGTTCTATTTGAAACAATTGAATTTGAGCATAATTGATTAATATTAGTACCGTTATTACCACTGATATTGCTATTAGGCGTAGTAGTAGTAGTTGTTGTTGTTGGTGTCTCTGGGAAAGATATCTGAGCATTCAATAGATTTTCATTGAATCGAAGACGTGAAGTTATCGAAGATAAATTCTCATGTGTAATCGGTGGTTGATTGTAACCCGACCAGAATGGTACACGATTAGCTAAATTCATATGATCAGCTATAGGGTGGTAGTACGCAGAAAAGACAACAAGAAAAGGAAAAGGTTACAGGATTTTGTCATGAACCGATATTGGTTAGAGAACCATTGAAAAACCTGCTGGGAGTACTGGACAGATGTTTCGTCCTAGTTTGGGACTCTTCAGCAACGCGCTTTGCGAAGAATCGATTGATTTCATGCGAAATCACGAAATGGCATCAATTTGACAAGGAGCGGGGGTGTTGAACTCGACTGTTTTGTTGTTAGTGTACGACTTTTCAGCATTGTGTATCAATAACCCCATTCGGAGTCAAACGCAAGTTATGAGATTCTGGGGGAAGGCGATTTTTTAGAAATTTTATACATTTATCCCCCCACCACCAACCTTTATGAATTTGAATAAAGCAAAAACAAGCGTTTGTGCGGAATAAAATGGTGCCGATTTTCTGAATATGTACCAAAATGTGTACGTCTCAAGTGGGGAACAAATGCTTTCACAACAGTGGCATTGCCAGGCGTTGGAAGGTCGTCCAAAGTTGTCAACAGACAGAAGAGTTCCATTCTCCTCAAGTTTGCTGAAGCAATTTCTATCAAGCCCCTGAAAACCCATTTATGTGATCATAAAGAAGCGGTTACCAGTCTCCCCTTGCTCTGTCTCGTAACTGGATGTTTTCAACCTCTTTCGTTTGATTACGTAACGCCAAACTATCCCATCGTATATGATTATTATTGTTTGGAATGAAGAGATTATCACTATAGTTATCACTACCATTGTATGCATATATTGATTGGTAACATTTTATTCGGCACAATCGTTTGTTTTTGATTTATTCAAGTTAAAAAGCAAGATGAATTAACCATTCACAGCCACAAGGACAATGACAAAGCGCCAGCTCGACCAATTCTGAATGATAAACCCTGACACCCTTCACTTCACAGTCTCTAAATAACGTTTCGAGCAACAGTTGGAAATTTCAACAACAATATTCCTTAGATGATCAGTGCTTTGTGTCTGAATGACTGACAAATTTCAACATAGAACTTTGCGCAAATGTGCATCAGTTCCATTTACCACACACCCTTCTTGTAGCACACAAAGCAAGAGAAGAAAGTAGGAGAAATGCATAATATAGACAGTAAACAGAGGTGGAAGACAAAGGAATAGTAATAACGAAGAACAATATAGTTTCATTGGAAATCGTAAGGCACAAGGAGTGGATCCATCTGCAACAGCCATTGAGAACGATTTTGAGTCATATCACGAATTCTTTCCAACCACTGGTTTTTACTGTCCCGAACACCCCAACCAGGAAGTCGACACCTTCCTACATGGTTTAAACTAACTGTTGTGGATTTCATTGACTGGTTCCATGTTTTCCTTTGACCGCCGCTAGCTCTTTTCCAGCCTGACCCCATGTCAGCTAACATTGTCCGTCGGTTGAGGAAGACGATGACTAGGTATACTTAACACATGTCCTAACCATCTCAGTCGATGTAATTTCACAGCCTCGTCGATTGATTTCCCCTCCCATCTTACTTACTTACTTTACTTCGGCTATCTCCTACGGGAGGATGAGCCGGCTTCATGAACATCTCGAATCATCGCTGCCCAGGAGCGGCGATCTGACGCAACGTTTTGCGACAGGGTTATCCAATTAAGAGAGTTCATGAAGTTTCATGGGAATTTGGTACGAGTGATGTCCCCAGAATCGCTCGGCCTTTTGTTTGAGAGTGCAGCTCTAGCCTTTACACAACCAAGTGTGACCTACAAGGCAGTAGGAGTGGAGTAGGGAGTCCACTATCCATTGGCAGCCGGTGACCGGAGTTCGGTTCATACGCCTTTTTGAATGGGGCCAGATATCCAGGACATCCAACAAGCCCTTTGTCCATACGTCTGCCGGTGAGCTCCAGTGAGCTTCATACGCCAGTCGTTGGAGGTTTGGAATCAGGGTTTAGCCATCTCCCCTAGACTGTCATCCAATGGACAGTCAACCCGGTGAAGAGCGCCGGGCATCCGCTTTCGCCCTCTCACTTTGGTGAAAAACACCTCCGCCACGTGAAGGCAGTAAGTAGGACTTCCTCAGGAGAGGCTATGTAAGACGCCTGGTCATATGGGAGCATTTCGAGAGGTGTGCGGAAGGGTGGCCAACCCGCAGCGCAAGGCACCCTCCCATCTACCTAGCAGTCGACGCCTAACCTCAATATTGCTCACTTTATTATACCACTTCACACGGGAGATAGAACGGAGGCACCTATGATCGAAGACAGCTAATCTTTTCATGTCTTCCACTCTCAATAGCCAGGTCTCACAGCCATAAAGGAGGACGGAGCGGACTGCTGAGTAGTACACACATCCTTTGGTCGATAGTCGAATATCACGTCTACGCCAGAGACGGCGTAAACTGGCATATGCGGAACTAGCTCTCTGTATCCGTGCTATCAAGTGTGCATCGGCCGGGGATCGAACCCCAGATCGTGTGCATGGTCGGCGAACGTCCTAACCGCTGTGCCACCGACGCATATAGATGAACAAAGAATATCATCACATGAAACATTCAGAATTTTAGTAAAAATGTGTTCTATGCACTAAATTTCATGCCTTACACAAAAAGCCAGGTAACACAACGTGAATGCTTTCATCATGGGGTTACTGGTGATTTGCAGTGGAATCCACAACATACGTTTCGCCCCAACTGGAACTCATCATCCGGAAATGCCTGCTTCCAGTAAGTACTGAAATTTCCGCTTGAATTCAGTATCTTTCGTATCAAACGCCAAAGTGTGTTACAAACACTAGGTCACGAAAAGTCACCAAATATATCTTAGTTCTCACTGTCAATACTGATAATAAAATAAATAGCATCTAGACTTTGGTGCAGTTAAAAAAATGCAGGTGACTTTGTGAAGGTGTGATACAGACAACAGGGTTCCAACGGAATATTATTCTCACAGAATAAGAATCATTGTATTTGTAAGTGTTAACATCGGAATAGTGTTCCCACACAATTCAATAGTACACATTAGCAACAAAATACTGTATATGTATACTTGATCATTCTATTTCATGTCGTTTAATGTAAACTAAAATCACAAGCTCAGTGATTGGTTGAACTGAATATAAATAGTATAGATATGAATAGCTGTTCTTTAATCACTTGAATATACATACCTTGGTTTCCGTCTCTTGCCTACTATTGTTACAACTTAACCTGAACTTAACTTTTTTCTGAAACTTAGATATACTATATTTACACAAAGGCAACGGTATAAAAGCAACTGTCGTTCAATTAATAAAGCTACACCAAACAGTATTGACGTGTAAAATAAAGCAAGCAGTGAATTATACTTACATACATATAAGACGACGGAATACAAAAGTTAAACAAGGTCAACTAAGAGAGATGAGTTTATGTTAAAACAACATACGATCACATGACAATCACAGCAGACAGGGCTGGGTCATATATTGATTGGTGTGCTGTCTGCCTATCGCAATTAGTAGAAATGCAGGTTGTGAAGTTACATAGATTGAAAGAGGGATTGTTAGGATATGTGTTACGCATGCCTAGCCATCGATGACCTTTCTCGACCGATATTAGCTGACTGACGTAGGATGGATGAGTTTCGGAAAGAGTTAGCTAGTGGTGACCAAACGAAAACATGGCCTCATCAGTCAATGACACCCATGATAGTTTAAGCCAGCCAACCAGCCACGTAGGGAGGTGTAGGCTGTCTGCTGCCAGTCTGGTTGCGGTGGTTGGGATGGTAAAAACCAGTGGCTGGAAACGATTGATGATATGGCTCTAAATTATTCTCAATGGCTGGCGCAGATGCATTCACTCTTTGTGATTTATCATATCCAATAAAATTCTATTGTTCTTCCATATTACTATTCTGTTTACCTCATATTTCTGATTATTATCTCTATTTACTCTCTTCTCTTCTTTTGTGAGCTACATAGGAGTGTGGTAACTCGATCTGCTGCACATCTGTTCAAAGTTCTACGTTGAAATCAGTCCAGTCCAGTCCATGAATGCAAGTACACTTAACTGACGAGTGCCATGTAGGAGGATACGTGTGTCCTGGATGCCACTGCTAGCTACCATCAACCAAATAGCATAAATGTTCATCATGAGTTGTGGTTAAATCGTTCGTACTATGTGGCTGACATCGTAATACACATTTCGTTTCAATGTATATTATGGTGGAATCAACGGGAAATCCAAAATAACTTCAAGACAGTATTATTTTACTTATTTAAAAACAAAAAACTTGGTACTATATGGCACCAAGAAAATGCGCCACACAATAACAGAACAACATGTGAGATAAAAAGTAAGAAATATAAGTAGAGAACGGATAAAGTGCTTTATCTGGGGGGGGGAGGAAAACAGTCATATTTAACAAGTTCAAAAAGCATTCGTCAATTATTGTCGGAAAGGGAGGAGTGGGAGAAATTGTAGCACGTTCGTCGTCGATGATTGCGATTCTTAGGCACATCTGATAACCTTTCGCGTTATCTCTCGGACTCCAACCAAGGAGTTGTGACACACCAACCAATGTTAACCTAGCACAATTATCCTCCATCCCACGACCCCACCTCTCTGATTTTTTTCATCCCGTCCCAGGGCTAGCGAACAGAGACCTGTAAAGTAGCCTCTGTGGTGACATTTGTAGCATATGTCCAAGCTTTCGGAGCCGGTGTTTCCAGATGGCGGAAATCAATGAATGGTGAGCTATACTGTGTTCAAACACACGCCGTTGAACCTCAGAATTACTCACACGACAATACCATCGAACGCAAGCAATTCTACGGAGACAGTGATGATGGAATACGTAGAGTCGCCGCACACCGAAGCATAGTAAACGCGACCTTTGACAGCTCGGCTAACGTCACGACGGCACCAGACGTTGCTCAAGCGGACGTATGTCACCCTAGCTTTCATGATACGATTGGAAATCTCATCCGTCACGTTTTCACCAGCACTCACAACACAACAACCCAAATGCACATACTTATCGACAACTTCAAGTGGTTCACCTGCAAGCAAAAGTGAGTGCAGGTACAGGCTGCGGATATCTTGTAACAGTGCTTTGCACTTAGATGGCGCAAAGCACATACCATACTTACAGATACTTGATCGCCTACTGACTAAGTGATTAACTTCAAAGACAGTAAGTATATCCGTGATGCAAACCAAAATTACACCCTGGAGTATACTATGTATTACTCTCTACGCAATTACAGAACAATAATGAGTGAGAGGTCTAATATAAGTTGAATAAAGCAAGAACAACAGTGGTGGTTTATGCAGAATACAAGATGGTACCATCCTTTGTTTATTTCGTTGGCTTCTCATCAGCTCAACTGCTTGCTTACAGCCTAAATAAATTATGAGGTTTATGTACAGAAATGTTTTAACCAGACATCTCCTCGATAAGGGTCATGAGGTGGAAATCGCGAAATCCCATAAAATTATTATCAATAAACAAAGGAGGTTGATTCTCCTCAAATTTGCCGAAGCAATTTCTATCAAACTCTTGAAACCAGATTTTTGTGTTCAGAAAGAAGCAGTTAGCATCAGTCTTTCCTTGCCCTGTCTGGTAACTGGATGTCTTTATTCTTTCTTTCATTTCACCATGTAATCTTTGGCTTTAACCTTACCCCATGTCCATTTGATATAGTGTAATTTTGCTTATCTCTTGTTTCTATGATTTGAGTTGAACTCAGTACATTGTTACCTAATTTATTAGTCACTCAGCATCTCACACGCATCTCTCGTCTTTATTACGTAACTCCTTTACCATTCTATGCATACATTTATTTTGTTTAAACTTGCACTGCCCGTGTAAAATCTATATAACCGTAATTTTCTGAGTACTGTTGACTAATTGCGGAAGTTTCTGTCAACTGACAGCATGAAAAAAAGTTTGCAAGTATGGTAAAACTTTTCTGTACATAAACTTAATCATAATTTCTTTAGACTGTAAGCAAGCAGCTGAGCTGATGAGAAGCCAACGAAATAAACAAAGGATGATACCATCTTGTACTCTGCACAAACCACCACTGTTGTTGTTCATGCTTTATTCAAATTCACAAAAGGGGAATAAATGCATGAAGTAATATAAAATTGATCCAACAAAAAGGACATTATGATATATAGATAGATAGATAGATAGACAAATAGGATAGTCATAGGTGCTATAATATATTTAAAATTACCTATTTCTTACCTAAACTAAGAAAACATTCATCACAATTTCGACGTATCTTTACACCTAAGGATAAATAACCAGCAGCAAGCCAAGTAGCCATTTGTTGATCTGTAAATGGACCTTGTATATGCTTTAGCAAATCCACATAATACCATGTACGTGAAGAGAGATGATATGGTTTAGTTGTTGTGCCCACTTCTGTTGATGTAGTAGTAGCAGTAGTAGTACCAGGGGTCATTGTCAACAATTGCAAATGATCATTAGGCGGCGGTGTAGAGGTAATCTTCTCGACAGGAGGAGGATAATTATTATCAAGAAATTCTTCAGCTTGTAATGTTCCCCCCATTGATAATGTTGATGATGATGATAACTTTTCAATATTTTCATGAACTGGAAGTTCAAATCCAGGCGGTGGATCAATAGAAAATGATTTGGAATAGGCTCTGACACTTCTTGTTTCCTAAAATTATTATTTTATCAGAAAAAGGGGAGAAATAGTGAAGCTGGCACAAAAAGAAAACTAAGCGCAAAAACTCATTTTAAATAAAAACAATAATAATTATAATAAAATGCTACATCTTTAAGAAATGCGTCGGGGGTTTAGCGGTAGGACACTCGCCAACCACGCATGTGGTTCGGGGTTCAATCCCCTGCCACAGACGCACTCCTAAACCTCGCTAGGCCGGTAAAGAGGGAAGGTTGGGGAGGGGGCACATGGGCCTAGCAACTTCAGCGCGTAAAAATAAACACCACTGTTATGAGGTGAGAAAATAGACTCCTAAGGTCAAGTTAAAAGGATATTCTGGAGGTCAAAGTAACAATGGAGATCACTAAACCAAATAACGAGGTAAGGAAAGTGGTTTAGTGTGATGACAAACTGTTGCTTTGATCGCAGAAAGCTGGTTTAAACTTCCTAATTCCCAGCTAGGGCTTCCATAAACTTTAGGATACTCCCCAAACACGTTAAATAGATAGGTTTAAAAGATGTATAAACATCAATATATGCCCCGTCTCTATAATATGTTTCGCAGTAGAGGAGCTAGGTCTCCTGTTCTCACCATTATTGGGTTCTGGAGAGCCATTTAGGAATATGCTGTGAAGCCAGAGATAGATAAGTCCTCCCTCCTATGTATGTGTGTCCACACGTACATTCAAATTAGTAAATACGCTGGGATGTGACATCATTTTTCGCATATTCTAAGGGCTTAGAGAGATGGATATATTCGTTTCACATTCTCAATTATTATGATATTAGCTGCATGAAAAGTCTTTTTAACAGCAGCGTTCAATCTTTGTCTAGTTGTCAAGCTGCTATGACCCGCCATATAGGGTAATCTTGATGTACACGTCTTTCTTGATGGCGAGTTGGAGAATGGGTGTCTTGGTGTTCTGACTACTTTATTTCCCCCTAATGAACTTGTTTGGATAATTATTATCAACCAGAGTTTGTGTCAACTTCCTTTCTCAACGTCTTAACTTTCCATATGTTATCACTGTTCAAATATGCATATCGTTGCAACTGTCTTCAGTGAACAATGCTTAACCTTAGTTCTCAAGACTCAGTTTTAAAGGGTAATAATGAGTCGACGATATTAAGACATATGTATGTTCGCATGGACGATTTCATCATGAGCTGACCAGTGGCTTAATGGTCTACGAGCTCGCCTTGTAACCAGAAGATCCTGGGTTCGAACCCCCCTAGTGTGGGTGCGTACTGCTGAAGAGTCCCAAACTAGGATGAAACAGCTGACTGTCGAGTACTCCCAGGTTTTCCAGTGGTTCTCTAACTTATATCAGCTCATGATGAAATCCTCCAGCCAATCAATCAAACAAAATCCCTAAAAAAATCAATACTTGAATATGTGTATGTCTAGATTTTTCACAAGTACAACAAAATCCCAATAATAAATATATATCCAAATTCTACTTTAATTCATAATCACATGTGTGTTTTGCATGCCTCAATAACAATGTCTCATACATTTAGTCATAAAAATACTCATCATAAACATAAATGTTATTTTGAAAGAGAATATCCCTTAGTCAGAGTTTACAGCCGTTATCTATATAAAACAAAAGTACATACTATGCCAATGACCAATCATATTTAAATAGGTCAAATAAATAGTTCATCATGATAGGCGAAGGTTGAAGTCTATTGTTGTTGTTGTTTTTTTCTTATACACATAGTTTAGGATGCATGTGATTAGTGCAAAGTGCTTCCATCAACTTAAAATAGCCAACCTTGAATTAGAGTTATATGATGAAATAATTGTGAAATAGTCATTAAATATTGATTTTGTGACCTGACATTATAAAGTGCTTTGCAATGGATGATGATGGTGATGGATTTCTATTCAGATTAATGAGTGCACTGGGTTTTTCTATGTATCTTAATCACCATTTTTGGAACATGTTCTTTTAGACGACCACACTGGAACATTCTATCGGTTCTACCTATATATAAATGTCACCGCAACTGCATGTGAACTTGTAGATATACAGTTTGAAGTAGAGTCTACAGAATTACGTCTTTTAATCGTAGGTACAGGGATAAAAAATGTTCGAGATGTGGCGTAGAATGTGCGTTTGATGGCTGACCGAAGCGTCTTTGAGCTGTCAACTGCATAATTTGAACACCCTTAAATGGCAGGTTAATAAAAATGGCTTTCTTTAGTACGGAAGCTGTCTTTTCAGGATGTGGTCTATCCTTACTGTGACAATTGATAAAGTTTTCTGGATAACCATTAGCGGCAAAGTTAAACTTTAATCACCACTAACTACCAATCAGCTCATGACCTCAAACGCACCAATCACGTGGGGGAGGCACTTTTTGTGTATGGAATACATACATTTATGAAATAATGCATAAAAGCTGTATGAAAGTGTTACTCTGCTCTCACATGTGAAAAAAATAGCTCAGTTCTAGTTTGGAGTATCAACAGTATAATTCCATCGTGGGTAAAATTTATTTTGATAAAGTCTCATAGTGTAATACAGTAATATTTCCTGAGCAATAAATTGTGCTCAAAACGTCATCATTAAATATTACTGTATAACACTGTAAGACTTTAACAGAATAAATTTTACCCACAATGGAATTATAATCTACCGACACAGTGCAAAAGTTCTTTTCTTATATCAACAGAGTAATTTAACCACATTCTATGCATGTAATTATTCAGGTCTTCTAACCCTACCCTAACAATAACCTTAATCTTTCCTGAACCTAACGTGAAAATATCCCTAAACTAACTGTAATCTAACTCGAACCAACCCTAATATCGCCTTTATTAGGTTAACCTAACCTTAACTTGTCCTTGGCTTAAACCGTAACTTAATCTTTCCCAAACCTAAGCTGAAACTTGCCAGATATCCCATTTAATAACATAACACTTCGATGAGCATATTTTATTGATGATGACAACATTATTTGCCAGGTTTCACTAACTTGCTCAGTGAGCGTTTCAAAGTCACTGGTGCGGCCGCACTCCATTGGTAGTTAGTGGTGCTTAAAGTTTAACTTGGCCCCATTAGCTAATAAAACTGAATGTGTCGAAGCTCATCCATCAATGTGTGACTCGTGTATATTTTGCGGGCTCTTGAAAACAAACATTTCACTTGGCAACGTATATACTTGATAGGAAAACAACTGGTGAAATGAAGATATTGTCCACCTCATGTCTGCTTACGAAATATAAATCGCTTAATCGTTTCATTGTCTCTCCTAGACATTGAAATAACCAAGAAACCGAAGTTGGTTATTCGATTCGAACTTGGACGTCGCTCAGACAACTGAATGAATATGATTAATTAGAGTGACAAAGTTTCCAATAGACTAACTATTATTACCAATAATAATGAGTGTATCATCCACATAACGTTTATATTTTGCAATAAAATCTCCTAGCATCCCCTGCATTTGTTTCTCCAATTTAGTCACGAATATATCTGCTAACAAGGGCCCAAGAAAGCTCCCCATTGCAACACCATCCATTTGTTTGTATGCTTTTTCTTGGAAAGTGAATCTGATATTTTCCCTACATGTTATAAGATAATATCTCTAACGTAAGTGACAGGAACAAGTACTTGTATCCTATTGCTTGTGATGTAATCGCAAATGAAATCAACAGTTTCATGAAGAGGAACATTGGTGAATAAAGATTCTACGTCGATTGAGCACATAACTTTTTCTTTAATGCTCAGTGTCCAGCATATTACAAATTATTTAAAATAACCCCAGAGTTGATCACGGATTGATATCAGTTAGAGAACAATTGAAAACCAGCCACAGGGAGTACTGGATAGCTGTTTCATCCTAGTTTGGCGATCATCGGCAGTACGCACCCACTGCCAGAGGTCGAACCCAGGACCTTCCGGTTACAAGCAAGCAAGCTCGTATACCATTCAGCCAGTGGGACCCAATTCAATGGCTTATGAAATAGCTGTCTAGTACTCCCTGTTGCTGGTCTTCAATGGTTCTCTAACTGATATCAATCCGTGATCAACTCGTAAAAACAAAGCTAATCCTTACAAACCAAACTATAGAAAATCTCAGAGTGTTTAAAAAAAAATCAAAACAAGATTTTCGTTCTGAACGTTTCGCTGTGTAAGCCACAGCTTCTTCAGAAGCAGAATTATTTGGATTTTATTAATCCTCAAAATATTTGGGTCAAAATTTTTTACATAAATTGAAGTTAGTTCATTTGAAGGTCACTTGTCGATAGACATTTGTACCAATAGAAATATATAAGCAGTCATCATATATTGGTAATGACTAATGTCAAATTGTTATTGTGTATATTTGTCTGTAGGAGTGTGTGTGAGCGTGTTATTTGTCATATGGAAAAGACGTCAATTCACATGTGATAAACATATTTTTATAAAGGTCATGGAGGATCATAGAGATTTTTGTTGTTTTTTCATCTGTCTTGCTTCATTAGAGTTTGCCATATAGGTGATAAGTCTATCCCTTCTCTCCTATTTACTGCATTCGATGTGGTTAAAACGTGCAAGGCTTCAGAGGTCAACCTTTCTTTATGTGAATGAAAGCCTCTTTCTAGAATTTCGACATTGTCGAAATCAATCTTATGTCCGCTGTCTATAGCATATGCATTGCTATAGCCGATCTTTTTTCTAGACTTTTTAATCCTACTTCATTTCTAGGTGGACGTTTCGTGCACATTCTGTGTTCATTCACTCTGACCTTCACATGTCTACTGCTCTCGTCTATGTAGCAAGCTTCACATTATGAACACTTTAAACTATAGACACAATTGCTTTGTGACATTTTGGGAACCATATCTTTGACATTCAGGAAAGCTTTCTTTCAAGAATTAGACGGCTTGAAATAGACTTTAATATTTTATCAAGCCAGTACTATCTGAAGTTGTTCAGTTGTCTCTTTTCGATATGGAATGGCTATCGTCGATCAATAGCCAAGATCTTTCAATTTTCTGTTTTCCCTTCTACTCCTTTTTATTGATAATATTATTTAGTAGCTTTTTCGGACAACCATTCCCAATCAAAATTTGTTTCATATTGGAGATATCCTTCTCCACATCTTCATTATCTGTTGCTATAATATCTCTAGCTCTCTTAACGAGATCTAAAGCTACTGAAATTGTCATCCCTTTTGAATGATCTGATTGGAAATTCACATACTTGTTGGAATGTGTCGATTTGCTGTGTATTGTAAACTTTAGTTTATTGTCAGTTTGTCTTTTCTACAAGACAATCCAGAAAATTTAGTTTATATCCAGTATATTGGTCAGATCGAATGAACATTTTACAGAATGTTTTGATAAGGAGTCCCCTTACGGGTGTAAGGACCTCTGTAATCCATTTTGCGATTTTATGATATGGAGAATTCGACATATCTAAGATGGGTCTCAGTGGGTTCCCAAGTTTGTGGATTTTTAGAAGGCTATATACAGCGGCGGAGTATGTTGAAACAGTGGAAAAGATTTGTAGCTCAGGAGAATGTGTTTTCGGTGTGATGTCAATGTTTGTTGAGTGAGGATTAGTCCTCCAGCAATTGATCAGCATTTTTAGTATTTTCCCTGTTTACAATTTCCACATTTTTCCAATCAAATGGGTATCTCTCTGTATATGACTGCAGGAATTGATATGGAAGGAATACATGTCATATCTTCTGATGGCTAGTTTATATTCTTGAATATTAGGTCGAAGAGGACGTCGATTTCGGCTAATAAAGCGTTTTCACAGTTCCTTTGAGTTTCGAGTGGAACACAGGGCTTCACAGCTTCAGCAACACACACATTTCCATTTCACCGAGCTATTTGCAATCACTTCCAACTGTGTGCATCGGCCAGGAATCGAACTCCGAACCATGTGCATAGTCGACGAGCGTCCTAACCACTGTGCCACTGACGCACACATAATGTATACTAATACAAATATACAAATTAAGTGATTCATAAGAATCATATTAAGTGAAACATAGTTTAATTCACTTTTGAGATTTTCCCGTCGATTGATTAGACCGACGTGTTCGGTCTCAGGTTGACATATCTGTCGGCTTCTTGTGCAGATGCTTCGACGATGTCTGGGTATGTAATTACAATTTAATTTGTGGATGGTGACTAGCAGTGGAATAATCCAGGATAACGCGCACTTCGTCCTATTTGGGACTCGTCACTGGATGTGCCAACATTTCCCAGTGAGTGATGATGTTCCCACCGAAGCTCGAACCCAGTGAGCATAGTTCCAAACGTCAAAGCGTTATCCACTAGACCACTTGGGCCACGAAAGCCACTGTCTCTTGTGCAACGGGTCATATGGATTATTTCATTGAATTCTTTTTTAGATTTTCCTATCGATTGATTGGATCGAAGTGTTCGGTTTCAGGGTTGAGGTGTCGACTCCTTGTGCAGATGCCTCAACGATGTCTGATTATTTAACTTGAAGCAAATTGGTGGATGGTGACTAGTAGTGGAACTCGGGAGACCGAGCACTTCGATCGAATCAATCAACGGGAAAGGGCAAATGGAATTAAATAATTACTGATACACATCTGTTGCACAAGAAAGAGGTGGCTCTCGTAGCCTAAGTGGTCTAGTGGATAAAGCTTTGGCTTCTGAAACTATAGGAACTAGGTTCGGAGCCTCGGTGGAAACACAATCACTCACTGGGGGAATGCAGGTACATCTACATGACGAATTCCACATAGGACGAAATGCGCATCCTGGATTCCACTGCTAGTCACCACCAACCAATTAAAACATAGTTGTTCGACTTTAACAGCCATAAGTTAGTCCAGAGGAAACAGATAACCGTGATTACCAAATAAAATAAAACTCAAAGACAGATGTGTGGCTGGTTTATTGGTTTCAGTTACTCGACGGTGTCTTGGATTTGAATCCGTCTGTAATTACTTCAACGTGGACAACAAACCTTCACATTCAATAAGCGTGGCCTATAGTTGGGTACACGAAAACTTTGTTTTAGGTTAACTAAGTACTAACTGCTTGCTGACGAGAAAACAAACAAACAACACAACGACGACAGAGGGACCCATCCGCAAAACAATTTAGACAGAAGTGAAAATGCACAAATCTAAAATCCATGATGCTTGGATCGCGACTTATCATTAATTATGTTATAGCAAAACTTCGACTGGAACAGGCTGGATTCAGAAGAAACAAGTCATGTATTGATCAGATCGCCACATTACGGATCATCATTGAACAAAGTTTGGAGTGGCAGTCACCTCTCTATCTCAACTTCATCGACTTTGAAAAGGCCTTCGACAGCGTCAATCGAGAGGTGCTTTGGAAACTACTTCGCTACTTACATCTCATCCAACAGCTGTACGACAATGCTACATGCCAAGTAATCCACAACGGGAAGCTTACGGAATCCTTCGAAGTGAGGACAGGAGTAAGACAAGCTGGCTGCCTACTATCGCCAATGATTTTCCTGATTGCAGTAGATTGGATAATGCGACAAACAGCGGGCAACGAGGAAACAGGCATAAAATGGACTCACACAAAAAACTTGGAGGATCTGGACTTCGCGAATGTGATATATGTCTGATTTCCTACAAACTGGAAGATATGCAAGTGAAAAGCAACAAGTTGGCAGAAGAAGCATCAAAGATAGGCCTACACTAAAGGTGAACATAGAGAAAACAGAGGTGATGAAGATTTCTGGTCAACACCACCAACAGCAACAACAGACAACAATCAGCCAGCATAAATGGGAGGAACCTGAAAGAAACAACCTCTTTTACCTACCTACCTACCTACCTACCTAGGAAGCATCGTTTCAACTACAGGCGGAACTGACGAGGATATCAAAGCAAGAATTGGAAAAGCAAAACAAGCTTTCACTACTCTCAAGTCTGTGTGGAGGTCAACAGCACTCATTATCAAAATAAGATCCGGATTTTCAACTCCAATGTGAAGTCAGTGTTACCATACGGATCAGAGACTTGGCGCCGCGTCATAAAGAGCATCTCAAACAAAATACAGACCTTCATTAACAGTTGTCTTCGCTCAATACCATTGAAGATTAGATGATCGGCCAGGAAAGATCAGCAACAGAGATCTCTGGGAGCGAACTAACCAGGAACCGATTGTGAAACAAATAGGCAGGAAGAAATGGAGATGAATTGACTGGCCATACTCTGAGGAAACCATCAAGTGACATCACTAGACAAGCCCTCGAGTGGAACCCGAAAGGGAAGCGGCGAGTTGGTCGTCAGTGCAAGGGTGACTTGGAGGAGGTCATGTGAAGAGGAGATGAAAACGTGTGGGCAGACTTGAAGCCAGGTGAAGACTCTAGCGGAGAACCGAACGCAATGGAGACGCACGGCTGAAGTCCTATGTTCCTCTAGGAATTAAGGGAAATTATATATATATATATATATATATATATATATAATTGTAAGTAGTTTTTAAAGTTTACTAAGTAGCTCAGAAAACTACACACAGAAATGCAGAAATTAGGTGCAACACAATACAACTTACTGTTGACAAAAGTGGATTAACATCAGCTAAACAACTGACAGGTCTATGATTACTAGTGTTTGAGTTATGTGACTGACCAGTAGTACCAGTCGAGTCCCGATAAGTTACAGCTTGACGTCCCCGACCACGACCCCGTCCACCACGTCCAGTGACTCCTCCATCAGGTTCATGTCCATTGCCACGACCTCGATGGTTGGAATAATTATGCTAAATATTTTAATGAAGTATAAAAAAGGGTGGAAAGAATTATCAACTGATTTACTCTGTAGCTATTGACATATTTATGGTAAGAAACGGTAGTGAGGTCAAAATGATAATGCCTCCTTTGGTGAGAAAGTTACCACTTATCCAAATATGTTTTGCTAGCACAGGATTGCGCTAGCGATGGATACGACACGTGTTATGCATATGACATCACCTTCTTCATCGAACAATCTTATCCGACATAGGATTTGTTTGAAAAGACATAAGGGTGGTTAGATGAAAGCAAAATATCAACCAATGAAGTCTTTGACTGTTGGTTCCCGTCCACATAAGAAGGTGTAATCTGTCTATCTAGAGTTCACTAGACGCTAAGAATCAATGGGGTTAGAGAGTGTTGGTTAGCAGGAAACCAGACCCGACTGATAGTCGCTATCTTGACGTGATGGTCGGGCTTACATATCGTAATGACCCAACAAGCCACACGGGCTGGAACTATTATTCCTGCAGGTCCTACCATACCAGGAAGATTGTTAGGACGGCGATTAGACTAAAAGCAGTTACCGGCATGGTATAAGAATGTTCTTTTACACTATGCTGGGGGTTTGTGGATGAAGTCGTACTGCTGGGGAACAGGGATGTAACAGCAGGAAGGCGTTTCCTTCAAATGACCAGCATGCCAGCCAGTTATGCTGTCTCTCCACTCTGGGGAGAGAGGGGGTTAGAAAAAGTCGACTCCAAAAACTGTACATCCCCACTTACCCAACGGTGGTCCGTAACCGGTGATAAGTTACTAATACGGAACCAATCCAAGAAACCGTGTGTGACCGGCCTCAAGCAGTTGTCCCCTGGGCTCTGCAGTCACACAACACTAACTCTCTTTCTGTTTCAGGTACCCGAAGAATCAATAAACTTCCATGGTGACGGCAGCCGGGAAGTAACAACCGCCCACAAACTCCTAAAATCACATGAAGCCCTACTGCTCAGTCAGTCAATCAGTCAGGATACCAGGAGGAACTTAAAACTAGAGTTCATACTAACTAGACCTTAAGAGTGACGTGAATGCTAATCTCAGAAGTCACACGAATTTACTCAAGACTGAAAACTTACCTTGTCGATGAATTTCAGAGGCTCAAAAAGCAGGTAGTTCAAGGATTTTTTTTAAGTCTAACATAGAATTACAATGTAACAGCGAAGAGAACAGTATCATGTGACAGCCCAGTGTGTATTAATAAAAAACAAGTACTAACATTATCTTTAGACTAATATTTAACACTTGTAATATTTGAAGTGATATTGGAAGAATCACCTTTAACGACACTGTTAACTCTTCATATTTTTGAGTGTCGATAGGTACTGTTAGTGAAATAGACACACACACAATAATTACTTATCTTCACAACCATGTATGCGTGTATGTATTTATGTATGCATACACGTACTCTCTAGAGAGATCTTAAGCAATTTCATGTAATAATAAAGTGAGTTAAGGTGGTGGTGTGGCTTAATGACTTGATCACTTAGTTTCCCCAACCACCAATGGGTCACAGGTTCGATCGAGTTCAGCTTAACTTAACCATTTAGCCTAAGTAAACGGGGGTGAAGATGAACTATAGCTTTAGATAACCAATAAAATTTGTCTGTCTGTTTTCGACAAAGAACTTTGCACCGATGTGCGGCAGTTCAAGTCGCCACACTCCCTCCTTGTAGCACACAAAGCAAGAGAAGAAATGCATAGTAGAGACAGTAAACAGAGGTGTGAAACAAAGGAATAGTGATAACGAAGAACAAAACAGTTTCATTGCATCTGCACCAGCCATTGAGAACGATTTTGAACCATATCACCAATTGTTTCCAACCAATGGTTTTTACCGTCCCGAGGACCCCAACCAGGAAGCCCCCACCTTCCTGCATGGCTTAAACTAACTATTGTAGATTTCATTGACTGGGGCCATGTTTTGGTTTGACTGCCGCTTTTCCAGCCCGACCCTATGTCAGCTAACATTACCTGTCGAGGAAGGCGATGACTAGGCGTACGTAACACATGTCCTAACCATCTCAGTCGATGTAACTTCACAGCCTCGTCGATTGATTGACCCCTGATCTCAATATTGCTCACCTTATTATACCACTTCACACGGGAGATAGAACGCAGGCAATTTGTAAGTGGATATAGCCACATTAGATAATACCTTGTGTTCTCGATTTCCTTAACGAATTCCAGGAAGATAGACGGTTTGATTACAGTGTAAATAATAATGGATTGATTAGATTCACTTAAACCTTCATATAAGGGAGAAAGCTTATCAGGATAATTGATCGTGTGGAAAAACTGGGATTTTGAGATAGATTAAAGAAGAGAAACAGAAACATAGACAGTTTTGAGAAAAAAAACATGATCTATTTAACAATTCTGGGGTTTCTATCCCCCCCCCCTTCATTCTGACTAAATAATCCAGGTCAGTGGTCAGGTCAATCCGGAGGTTGGCTGTCATAAGTTTAACTTCACCCAACTGGTTAGTGTCGTTAGCTCTGACAAGATGAGTTTGATACTTAGGCTGTACCATGAAAAATCTGTCCAGGGTGGGTAACTCAGTTCCAACAAGAAAACAAAAAGTAGGTTAGGGAATCATGATGTTTCAATTGCACGTAGCAGAATAACAGATTTTCGTGTGATACTTAACAAAGCAGTTAGGATGATGAACACAAAAGTAAGAACTTGCATGGTAAACATCAGATTGTTCACTACCGCTATATGAACGCTGACGCCAGCCAGCACAACCACGTGACCAATCTCCATGTCCTCCTCGTTTAATTTCATTGGCGGGGCGTAATGGCCCGCTAACTTGTGGAGAGGAATTTAAAGTATCAACATCACCGCCACCACCAGTTGGCCCACTAGGACGTCGTTGGTGAGGATAATTTGTAACGTGACCAGATTGTGCATTCACAGCATGACGAGTTTTACGATGCCAGCCAGTGTTGTTGTTAGGATCAGTCTCTTGAACAGTTAAATCTTCATTGACATGAGTTCTGTAATAAAGAAATATACGTGGGATTTTATAAAGATGTATTGGTTCCAGTTATCAGTCACTACACAACCATTTTATCTGTTAAAATCAGAGTAGTTTATTTTGTTTTTTACGAGTTTGACTAAGGGTTGACATCAGTTAGAGAACCATTGAAAACCAGCACTGGACTACTGGACAGCTGTTTCATCCCTAGTTTGGGAATCATCGGCAGTACGCACCCACCAACAGGGGTTCGAACCCAGGACCTTCCGGTTACAAGTAAACAAGCTCGTATACCATTCAGCCACTGGGACCCGACTCGGCAATGGCCAGCCCATGAATTCTAACTTCTAACAATTCGTGATTTAGACCAACTGACACCAACCAATGTCGTCATCGGTGGGAAATCCATCCTCATCATTCTTATCGCTAGCAGAATTTATCAAATACGGTCCCAAAGTGACATAATACAGAAGCATAAAAACAGAAAATTTAAATAGGGCATTCAGAAGGAAAATATTAGAATGGGATATCATTTCGTAATTGTTTCCTTCCAATCACATTACAACCTACTAGCATACTTGATAACTGACAGTGTTAAAATAAAAGGTTATATAAATAGCTGACCAATCACATTTTAGTAAGACAAGAAATCCAGGGTAGGCGACGGTAGAAATTTATTGCATTTTTGTATAAATAATCTGGTAAGCATATTATCGATCCAAAATGCTTCCTTGAATAACCTCGAATTAAAATTATATGACTAAATATTAGTAAAACCGCTACTACGATAGACGAAATTAGACTTTTATTCAGATTAAGTACATCTGGATTTCCTATGTGACACTTAGGTACATGTTCTTTCCTATGACTGAATGGTTTCAACACAGAACTTTGCACCGATGTACAGCAGTTCGAGTCGCTACACTCCCTCTTTGTAGCACACAAAGCAAGAGAAGAAAGTAAAAGGAAATGCAAAATAGAGACAATAAACAGAGACATGAGGCAAAAAGAATAGTAATAACGAAGAACAATACAGTTTTATTGGATATTATAAGTCACAAGGAGTGGATGCATTCGCACCAGCCATTGAGAATGATTTTGAGTCATAGCACAAATTGTCTCAAGCTATTGGTGTTTACCGTCCCGAGGACCCCAACCAGGAAGTCGACACCTTCCTATGTGGCTGGCTTAAACTAACTGTTATGGATTTCATTGACTGATGAAGCCGTGTTTTGGTTTGACCACCGCTGGCTCTTTTCCAACCTGACCCTATGTCAGCTAACATTACCCTCGGGTGAGGAAGGCGATGGCTAGGCATACATAACACATGTCCTAACCATCTCAGTCGATGTAACTTCACAACCACCACGTCGACTGACTTCTCCTCCTTACCTAGCACTCGACGCCTAACCTCAATATTGCTCACCCTATTATACCACTTAATACACACGGGAGACAGAACGCAGGCACCTATGATCAAAGGTAGCTAGCCTTTTCATGTCTTCCACTTTCAATGATCAGGTCTCACTCACAGCCACAGAGGAGGACGGAGCGGACTGCTGAGCAGTACACACGCCCTTTGGTCGATAGCCAGCCAGATATCACGTTTACGCTAGAAACGGTATAAACTGGCACATACGAAACGAGTCTTCTGTATTCGTGCTGAGATTTCGTCAGCGATCAACCCGCTGGCATTGGCTGATGCAACTTCCCAAATAAGTGAAGTGGTCAACGCGCTCTACCATTTCACTTCCTATTTCTAAGCTAGGAGTCAATGGAGTCCAGCCCAGTCCAGTCCAGACCTGTAGCATCATCTTTCCTATGACATTAAAACATAATATTGATTCTACCCACACATAAATGTATCACCCCCAACTGCAAGTGAACTTGTAATCACAACATAAAGTTCACAGGCTTTCGTCCTTTAATAGTGGACACAATAAGAGAGAATTTTCAAGAGGTAAGAAAAAAGGATGTAGTATAGAGAATGTGCACTTCATAACTCATCGAGGCATATGACCTCAATCATCTAATTCAATACATTAATCAATGGACTACACTGTATACAACATTGAGTTTCACTGGCTATTAGATAACCTGAAAACTTTACTATATACATATATGTTACAACAAAGAAAAACTGTCCGCGGTAGAAATACAGCTGATGTAACAAAGAAAGTTATCATTATTCAGCTTCCATAAAACAAGTGATTCTTGAACCAACAAATGAATAAATATTCTAAAGTATAATGTTAGTGTTGTACTACTACTAATTACTAAGGAAAAGAAATAACAAGTACACATAGCTTATCAATCAACAGATACATATTCACATACTTGTTATTTTCTCCATCACTTGACTGTGAATGGCTGGTTTTCTTTCGTTGAGTTTTTGGTCGAACTGTTAATATTGAAAATAAGTAAAAAGTGTATGCATAGTTGTCTTACCTCGAATTCCAGTCTAAAATAAAACAAGGGAAAAACACATAAGATTATGTATACATATGAACTAAGTTCATAGGGATAACTATAGGTCATAAAGAGCAAGACAAAAAGAGTTTTCATTATTTTTTTGGTGGAAAGCGTATATTAGACGGAGAAATTCTACTCAAACTGGAGCCATAGAAGTATAACGATATGAGGAGATAATGCTAGAGACAATCGGTGATATGGCTGAAAATCGTTCTCAATGGCTGGTGCAGATGCATCCATTCCTTGTGCCTTATAATATCCACTGAAACCATATTAGTCTTAGATATTGCTACTCTTTTTGTCTCATATCTCTGTTAACTGTCTCTATTTTGCGTTTCTTTTTACTTCCTTATCTTACTTTGTGTGCTGAGTGAAGTGTGGCGACTCGAACTGCTGCACATCGGTGCAAAGTTCTGTGTTGAAAACAGACAGACAGACAACAATATGGGGAAAGCAGAGTAATTAAGGAAGAAAAGACCATAAACAGATCAGCACGCTTATCAACAACATTTGAAACGGAGTTCATTACCCCACATTACTTTAAGAAAAAGAAGGGAAGTGTTGCATGTCCACCATATATCTCATAACTTCTTGAGACACTGAGTTGCATAATCTATTGGACCTAATCAGACAGTCATGAGGCTTCAATAAACCCGAGAAAACTGGACAGGATGTGGGCCAGGAGCAGGGTGTTGTATAGATGACAATTAGTAGTGCCCATCAGGGATATCCACTGTTCCCACTTTTGTTTAACTTCATCATAGATGTAAAAATCAAATTGACTCTAGCTGACCTTAGCAAATTATGGATTGACTTGTTTCCAGAGTACAGTCTTGTATTACGCTAGTATTATTCCCCTAAGTGAAGAGGTTGACAACATGCAGTCTTTTGAACTTCAACCTTCAGATGCTTCGCATACGATTTACTTCTATCAAACGTAAGATGATGCTGCAAGACTGGACTGCAAAGACGGCAAGCTTACAGATAGACAGCAAAGTGAATGAGCGTGTTGACCACTTCACTTATTTTGGAAGTTGCATCATGCCTAATGGACTGATTGTTGACTATTTCTCGGCACCGACACAAAAGGTTCGTGTGGCATTTGCAAACTTACATCATCTCTAGCATAAAAGTGATATCTGGATATCGATCAAAGAACGTGTGTACTGCACAACAGTTCGCCCTGTCCTCCTTTATGGCTGTGAGACGCCATTTAAAATGGAAGACATGAAAAGACTAGCTGTCTTTGACACATACTTTGCGCTCTGTTTCATGTGTTTAGCGGTATAATATGATGAATAACATTGAGATTCTGTCTTAGCATCTTAACTGACTGAGCTGGACTTTACTAATAGGCCAGAAACTATGGTACGCATGGCCACTTCCCGGAACCCATCGGAAAGTTACAATATGACCCAACCATCCTTTTTGATCCTGAAATCAGTCTGGTCCCAGAAGTTTGTCTTTACGTAACCGTACATTTCAAATTCCTACACAAAAGATCTTTGTCCCATTCCTTTTAAACTGAGATGATTGGTGAACCAAACGTCACTTACAACCACATATGAATCCGAGTACACTATGTGCTATTTGAGTCAACTTAACCTTTCCTGAGAACTTTTGGAGTTATCACATTCGGCTTTTCTAACCTGCCTCACTTAATGTTAGCTAAAGCCTTTGATAACCACGCGCCATTTAGATGAGTGAGAGATGTGGATGTGCAAGTCAGCTGAACTGCTGTACAGTGTTTCACGTAACATCTCAGCAGTCTGTTCGGCGAAGTGTCATCTTCGTAACAAGCCATTTAACTAAAACGTTTATCATTTTTACGCACCTTAACAGCTGACATGAATTACTTTTCATTGATACCTATTCTATTCCCTTTGCCTTCATTATCTGCTATCGTTTAGGGTCATTACCAAGACCTCTAATCAGTTCATGGTTATTACGCGTTTTCCTTTTCTAGTGTTCGGAAGGTAAAGGAATCTATTCTCACAAGTCAAACAGTTTCAATACAGCAGCAAAGTCTCTTGCTAACTTTTTGTCTGCAGTTTACTAACTTTCTACACTAAGATAAGTGTCACCAAGATGTTCAGGTAAATTATTATTCAACCCATTCACTAAACATAAACAGGACATCTTTATTGGTAGACTAGACACTCCATGGCTTCAAAATCACAGGTGAACAGATATGAAGATCAATTAATAGTCGGTCAACACTGGTCCCCGTGAGGCAATTTAATTCCTCGCCGTATTATAGACAGGTGATTTTTGATATTTCTAGCTCAACTTTTCCTAACGTTCATTCAGATATGTCGGTGTGAAGTTCAAGAGCTTACGTGGGTACAAAATAACGTCCAAATTCGAAGCATATTTATCTGACGCGTTGAAATTGGACAGGTTACTGCGTCCACTAAAATCATGTCATTTCAAAACACTGGTGCCCTACAAATAAGCATTCAAAAGTTCACAAAGCGTTTTACAGGTTGAGTTGGTCTTCTGGGTGCAAACATGCTTTTTAGGAGACTAAGATCTAATTCATTAACACTATACACATATACATGCGACACAAACTTTGGTATGCTTGGTGAAATAACTGAGTCTCAAGGTATTTGTCATATAAAGAGGGACTATAAACTGAAGAACAAAGTATTAAATGAAGCGAAAAGGGTGGACAGTAAAAACCGCATGTTATAATCACAGCCACGATAAATTTAATCATGAGCAAGCGGTCGTGTTAGAGAATGAGCATAAAATATGCATCCTCAGCAGCTAATGTAACGTACTATATTCGTTTGTTTACCAAGACTTTATAATAATCACATTGCTTTCTCTTGCATTATTGCAAATACTATTTTACTCAGATGAATTGAATTCATAAAATAGTTGGTGGACAGTCGTACGAGTTTGATTTTGCTACCTACATAGTAACCGAAATACCTAACTATGAGTAGTAATCCTAGGCTACCACGGTGCTGAAACACAACTATAAAAACGGTAAACAACGATATTTAGGATAGTGTGTTCAAAATTGAAATCGAATGATTGTGTTAAAATGATACTAAACTTCCTAGAACTAAAGTGTAGTTTCCTATTATGAATATTTAACTTAATCAACCTTCTTTTCAAAACTGCTTTTTAAAAAGCAGTCAGGCACTTACGACGGCTTTTGTTATTGCATCCAAAGAATCATATTCTACGGCTATAGTCTTTCCATAATCGTAACGAGCTAAAACTTCTGCTCTGGAATAACGCAGGCGCTGTCCAACTGGCTTGGTAACTACATCCCCCGTAAGAGACTGCATTCTGATAGCAAACAAAAGTTCCAACCTAGCCTCTTTCAAACACAGCGCTGAAAATCCCTCGCGTATTACACAATATACAATATCCAATGTCATTCACTTCCATGAATTTCATCTAACGTAAGAAGACTCGTAACATATCTTTTTGTCTGTTTGGCTTACAGCGCGAAATTTTCCATTTTCTCACAAATGAGAGTGAATGTGAGTTTTTCGGTGGCACATTTCCTCAAATTGGAAAAAGTATTTTCACAACGAGTGCTGTCTCTACTTTTTCAAATACGATTGCACACATCACGTAGTCAAGTCAGACCTCATTAGCCAAACCACTACGCCAGAGTCATTTGGAATGGTGTTAATCTGTCTCTATTGAAACACAGTGATAAACACGTTCCTAACTGTCGGTGAGATTCACATAGGCTCTTAATACTTATACGCAACATAATACGTACTTACCCTTCCTCTTAAAAAGCATGCACTATGCTTATGGTACTTTCGTGTATACATACAGGTTATTCCTCTCTGCACCCATCACAAATTAAGTGACTTTTATCACGGTACATGTTCCCTGTACTACTTTGAAATGTATTTATTTATGTCGCAATTCTAAAATTGCTTTTGGTTGATTTTTTTGACAAGTTTCTCATCCATTTGTGTCTTCTTTTCTAGGTACGACAAGTACTAGAATAGAAACAAACCAGTTATAATGGACGAATATCAACGAAGCGACGTGCCGCAATATCACATGCTGACGAACAATAAGTAACTCACTGCCATCGCTACCTCCATTAGCCGTCTAATTCCGTCTGGTTTCGTCTTTGTGTCCTCATAATACCGATATGGAGGATGGAGAGTGTTGGAGATAAATAATACCCCAAAATCATTAGACTACTACAGTCTTCACCCAACATTCAATGCTGACATTCACTATTAAAGTCAACTCGTTAGGCTGAAGTTTTACGGCCAAGCATCCATGACTTCGAGTACGCTGTTGTGTTACATCCGGCTGGCCGTGCACAATCCACGACTACCTAAGCAATCATCACCGCAGTATGATTCTGATCCCAAGATATACCCCGCATTTGGAATGAGCAATTCCGTGTTTTGATTTGTCTTAAGTCTAAGTAGAGCAAATGCCCCAGGAGTCAGATGATAAGAACTTTTATTAGTATTCAGCGTACTTTGCGAAAACGTTGACACCCCTTCTCTCCTGAAGCATGTTCACTTGTTCCATTTACTGAGAAACTATTTGATTTTACTTCATTTTGCACTCGGTCACATTATCTGATTCCTCCTATCCCTACAAAGCGTTGAAGACGTGTTTAACATGATTCCCACGAGTTTCTTCTCCTCGACTTAGCATCACGATATCTTCAAGAAATGCTGAAACGAAAGCTGTTTCAAGCAAAATATAACAAATTAAACGCTGGAATATATCTGCAGATCTGAGTATGCGGTATAATTTGCAGAGAAACTTGAAAAAACTTAAAATTCAAATAGCTGCTATCTTCGAGATATCAGCATGGTAAACAGAGGCTTAATGATAGATTTACTGAATACAGGTTTTATTTAAGTCGTTTAAGTGTAGGGCTAAATAACAATGTGGTACAACCGATGCTGCTGTGACAGTAGGGCTCGGATCAAACACGATTGGAAAAACAGGATGAACGGTGAGGTTGGTTGTTGAGGTCGAAGAGTCTCCGATTGTAAGCTGTCACTGGCATGCTACTGGCCATAGAGACTCTTCTATTGTCGGTGGAATTACGACAGGTCCGCAATAATACAGAGAGAGTAAATCGTTGAGATCATGAGAAATGGAGAGAGAGCAGGTAAGCGACCGAACATTTATAGAGCTTAGCGCACTTAAGGCATAGGCACTAAGAACTCCACTGGTGAAAGAACTTAAGTCTAGGCTTCACAAAACGAATTTAATCGCTCCAATATGAACTGAACACTTGAACATAACATTTGAAAGATTACACCAACATGATGTTACCATTGTCATAAAAAGGCGTCAAACAGGAGTAGAATCACTGGACTTTCACGGCCACATCGTTGACTGCAAGGGTATCCACCCATTGGCCAGCAAAGTCGAGGCGATTTTTAATTTTCCAGAGGCAGAGACGGTAAAAACTTCGCACTTCTTATAGCTTGGTAGGTTATTGCTGAAGTTTAATTCCCAATTGTGCCTCCTTGATTCAACCGCAAACACACCCTCTTCGAGCGACAAACAAGTCCACTGAATTTGATGCGTCCGCTGAAAATGCTTTCGTTCAGGTTAAGAAGTTATCATGGATGCCTTGTTGATATAAGTATAAAACTTGGGCACTGTGGTAGAGTATAACTCCACTATGGATAACTCCATTGAAATGATTATGAGCAATAATTTGTGCTCGAAACATCACCAGTAAATATTACTATGTAGCACCGTGTGATTAAATCAAAATAAAATTTTATTCACAATGCAGTTATCACGGATGCCACCATGCATATGTATCAAGATCCAGAGGCTCCATTAAGTATCTCAGTTGGTGCGTCAGACACTGCAGTCAGCGCATCTCTGCAACAACTAGTCAACAAAATGTGGCAGCCATTCGTCTTTTTCTCGAGGCGCCTGCAGCTGGCAGAGGAAAATGCAGCACCGCAGAGAACTTCTCGCTATGTAGTACGCCACGCGTCACTTCCGACATTCAATGGAGGGTCGTGAACTCATAATTTTCACTGACCACAAACCTCTTACGTTCTCTTTGAACTCAAGTCCAGGTAAGTATTTACCTTGATAATCACGACAACTGGACTACGTTTCAAAGTTTGCATTGGATATTCGCCATGTATCCGGAGTGAACGGCAATCCGTCAGAAGCCTTATCGCTCATTTGTTCCGTCGTCTAAACTGATAGTGTAGGCCTTGTGAAAGTGGCTCATCTTTAAAAAGAAGCTGCCGAGCTTCAACATGATTTGTCGGAAACAACACTGCAATTAGCTCAGAAACCCTTGTGGATAGGTGGGGACACTATTTTTGTGACATTTCTACCAGTGCTCCCCGCCCCGTCGTGCCTAAAAGTTATCGCCGTAACGTCTTCACTACTTTGCATGGATTATCTCACCCCGGTATTCGAACTACGATCAAGCCCATTAATAGTCGGTTTTATTGGACTGATGTTAAAAAGGATGTAAGTAAATGGGTTTGCACATGCCTGGCTTTCCAAAAGTGCAAAGTGGTAAGACACACCAGAAGTCCCGTGGCAACTTCCTGATCAGGGACACTCGTTTTGAACAGGCTCATATAGATATGGATGAACCTCTCCCAGAATCTCCCAGATATGCTTACATCTTGATCCTCACTGATCGTTTTACATGGTGGCCCGGGGCAGTACCCCTAAGGGATGTATCTGCTGAAACAGCCGCATACGCCTTTGTGGACTGATGGATTGCGAATTTTGTATAGCCTTCCTTTATAACAACTAATCGCGGGGGGGAAAATTGGAAAGGGCCTTACTGTCACCCTTGACTAGAATACTGAGTCGTATGCGCTTTAGAACAACAGCCTACCGTCCTCAATCAAGTGATATTGTGAGTTTCACGATGTCCGACTCATGACCTACATTGACGAGATGTCTGGCAGTGGCACTAGTGAAAGCGTCTGTTTACTTCAGGCGTGGCCTTTCCAGCCCGTGTTCAAAGAGACGAAAGTATGCTCTGCTCTCCCAATGTAACCACTACTGCAGGAACATGCGAATTTTTGCAGACAATTATAGCTAACATAAATGGGCATCATTCAACATTTTATTGCACCTGAGAGAACGCCGTTCGATAAATGGCACAGTGGTTAGGACTCTCGCCGACCATGCACATGGTCCGGGGTTCGAACCCCTACCGACGCACACCCGATATCTATGGTCGTCCTGCAAAATTTGGGCTACCGATATCCATGCTGAAAATGCCATACTTCTACTGAAAACACGGTGTGGTATCAAGCTGTAATAAAAAAATGAAAATAACTTAGTTTGAAGACATGTTCTTGCTGGCAATTTATTCAGTCTTCCGTTTACTATTCTTCCAATAATATCACCCTTAAAATCGAGTTGAAACTTTCACCTTCCATACTAGTTAGTAAGTTTCTGAGGGCAACTGCTGTTTTCCAACATCTTTTTGAGAACCGGAAATTACTTCTCTAATTTCTGTGTACAGGATACTCCCTCAGTCGTGTAAAAAAGAGCTTTGAGCAGTGACAATGGTAACATCATGTCGGTGTCACCTTTCAAATATAATGTTCAAGTGTTTAAATTGAGTCTCCTTGTTTGGAATCGCAATCAAGCAGTCGTCTAGGTATGCATATATAAAGTCAAGACAGCCAAATACTTCGATAATGAATCTTTGGAATGTTTGTGCTGCATTCCGCAGAGGGAATTGTATACGTAGAAAGTCAAACTATCTGAAAGGCCTAATGAGAGCTGTTTTCGGAGTATCATCCGGTGCCATCGCAATCTGATTGTATGCTTTAACCAAATCTGTTTTCAAAAAATATTTGCAACAGATAATGTTGCAGTTAAGTGACTAACACAACGCAATTAACAGCAACCAAGGGTCGTTTTGGAATTCAGTATTCACTAATCACCAGTGGGCCACCAATTGTTGCTGTCATTTTTCGGGGCTATATGGAGTGAAGATGGCCATAATCTATTCAGTGGACGAAAGATGCCAAGGGTGAGCTTGTGGTCGAATCTATTTTTAGCCCATCGTAGTTTGTCAGGGGCAAGTCTTCGTGCTTTTGAATGTCACGAGTTGCCCTGATGCTGTGATGTGATGCATCACATCGTTGGTTATGCATGACGGATCGTTAGACGGGAAATTAAGTCCTGGTTACTTGCTCGAATCATAGGTCGCCTTCTTTTTAATCAGTAGCAAACTGTGACCTATGTAGGTGATGCCTTTAATAGACAGTCTAATGGCACTGTCTACCAGTCGTTTTCATTGAACATCTACGTAGATCACGATGGTCAAGTAGGTCCCTGCCGACGAACTGCATAATGACATCAGCAACGAGGAAAATCCACTGAATA